GAATGAGGGGAAGAACCACTATATTCCTAAAAGCTGTGCATATGAAATTTGTATTCATTAAATAAAAACCTTCTAAAAAAAAGAACTGAGTGTCTAGATTTTAACTGTGTTAAATTATTCCAGTCTGCATTCTTATTTGGTAAAACAAACTATCTGGATATTTCCTTTAATCATATATTCTATATAGTCTATAGAGGATTGTTATGTGTTATGTTCAATCATTGAACATTTTGTAAAGAGCAGCAAAACACCATTCAGGTAAATTTATGCAGCTAAGACAGGCACTGAAAAATGTCTGGATTCGCTAAAATGGCAGGAATTCTCAAGGAAGAGAAAGCAAGAATCCTTTTTAAACAAGGGTGAAAGTTTGTAGTGCACGCTAATGATACTCTTCCCTGGTTAATGATTCCTCCACAGTGTTCTGCTTAACTGTCCCAACATTTTAAGCTCTGAGTGGATGACAATTTGTAGAACAATATCCGATATTTTGAAAAATTGTGTAATTTATATGAATTCTGGGTTTTTAAAATTAACATAAAAGGAATTCAACTCAAGTTTTTTAATAAATGTCCAATTTTCTGAGACTTATTTTACCATATTGCCCATGTCTCAGGCAGCTTTTTAGATACACAGATCTTTAAATTTGATAGTGCTTTGAAGTATCAAAGCTAAAAAATGTTTCCTAGAGTTTCTTTTGTTGCCTGGAAAAGTACTACATAATCTGAATTATAGAAGTTCTTTAGACAAATGTGAAACTATCTATGTTTTAAAAATTAACCTTATAGGCTGGCGCCACTGCTCACTTGGCTAATCCTCCTCCTGCAGCGCCATTACCCCAGGTTCTAGTCCCGGTTAGGGTGCTGGATTCTGTCCCAGTTGTTCCTCTTCCAGTCCAGCTCTCTGCTGTGGCCCGGGAAGGCAGTGGAGGATGGCCCAAGTGCTTGGGCCCTGCACCAGCATGGGAGACCAGAAAGAAGCATCTAGCTCCTGGCTTCAGATCAGCGCAGCACGCCGGCTGCAGTGCGCCAGCTGTAGCAGCCATTTGGGAGATGAACCAATGGAAGGAAGACCTTTCTCTCTCTCTCTCTCTCTCACTGTCTAACTCTGCCTGTCAAAAAAAATTAATCTTATAAACAAGGATAAATTTGATCAATTCCTTAAACTACTGCTTTAAGGTTAAATCTCCATATAACTTCCTTTTTGAAGCTTTGGTGGCTATTTGGGTTTGCCTTTATTATAATTATGTTTGAGAATTATTAGTCATATTTCTAGTTTTTTTCTCCTTCTATCTTCCCTTCCTCCCTTGTTTCTTTTCTTCTTTGATTATTTCCCTGCCTACTTTTTTTCACATCAATTATTTGTCAATTTCTAATATATATCACAGATATATATTAGATATATAATATATATCATAGATAAATGTAGTTTGGCTTAAAGTTCATTTTGAATTTCAAGTTCAACAATTGAATAACTGCTGGGTGAGGAAAGAGGGATCTGAGATTTTTTTCCGAATTATAAATATATATACTATAAGAAGATTAGAGGAGCAATATACTTCCCAACAGTGTCCTTTCTGTCTCCGAGTTCTTCATACAGAGTTTGAAAGCAGGTCTTGAATAAACCATGACTTCCCGTGAGTTCTAGTCCACCTACACATCTCACATGATTTTACCTAACCTAGCCTATGATGTTTCCATCACTCACCAGCTCCCAGGTCAGGGGCGTAGACTGTGTGTGTGGTGTTGTTGCTGGAGCTCCATCAGGCTCCCTGCCTTGATAATGTTAAGTGAGCAGGTTTAAGTCCCCTGTTCTGTCTCTCTCCAGAGGCCATGTCTGATCCCTGTGGTATAGGCTATGAGAGCTGCATTAAATGGACAAGTACTAGACACAGCTGGCTATTATTAACCATTATGAGCCTTTTGTATCCTCCAGCCATACATGATACAAGCTTAGAACTTGCACCCAGTTTGGTTTCAGGCTTATTTTCTTCTGTTTCCATTTTAAGACCATCATAACTCTGGATAAACAAAAATCACACAAGACTCTAGATATTCTGAACCAAGTAACAACTTGTATCACATTTAGCATTCCAAAACATGCATTCCTCTATATCCTTCTCCTAAAAAGCACATTTCCCTCCAAATCCAATATTTTGGAAGTTAGAATAGAGTATCTTCAGCACCATTTCTGTGATTTGTAACCATAGTGTTTTCCAAGATAACTAAATTTCACAGTAGCTGGCCTTTGTTTCAGTAGCATACAGCATAATTTCTTCTAGCATTCTGCCTTTTTCCATTTACTCTCCTCAGAGTAAGCTCTTATCTTCTGAGGAGTGATTTTCTGAGGAGTGATTTTGAGGATCAGAGGAGAAGGAACTCACTAGAAACATATGAAATGGATCGGATTTTATTTTGAAGCTAAGTGGTGAGTGATATGATACAAGTTCTGATTGCAATAGGTGTAGACATGGGAAGTTGAGATCTAGAATAAGTCAGGAAGGAAACACAGGAGCCATCTCAGGTGAATCACACAGGTTTGATGATTCTCTAGGAGTACTCACATGGCTCAGTTTAAAGTTACATGCACAGTTTAACATCACAGGGAACATTATACAGGATCAACAGGAAAAAAACTATACATAGTTAAAAGCTAGCCAAGTTTAGGCTTCCAAGAGTATCCTCTCTCTGCAAGGTTTGTTCCAGCTATGGACCCCACAGACACATGAGAGATGCCTTTATCCAGGGAAGTCTGCTTGCATTTTGGAGTCTATCATTCTTGAAGCAAACTGGTAACACAGGAATATATATCTATCACATAATCAGCATGTGCAGATCTTATACCCTGCCACAGGTGCACATAATAATACTCTTATTTACTTTACATATGGTGTGAAACATTTGAGATGTTGCTTTAGGCATAATTAATAACATTTTTACTTGGTAACTGTTAGAATATTTCAGAAACTCTGAATTTTATCAGAAGACATTGACATGACTACAAAGATAGGCAGTAACTGAGTAAAGCAGATCCCCTGTTCTATTTTCTTGTGGGCCTCTCTTATCAGTATCTGGAATTTGCTAAGCCACCACTGGACTTATATCAGAAATGTTGTCATTTAGCATGCGTGAAATATCATTAGCTGTTATGTGACCTAAGAGTAGTTTATATCTCAAGTGAGAGAAAATATGACTATCATGTACACAGACACATACATTAAATATAAAACCAGTAATGGGGCTGGATGTTTGGAGCAACATTTCAGCCACTGCTTGGTTTGTCCTTATCAAAATGCCTTTAGGAACAGAACCAGGACTCAAACTCAGGTACTCTGATACGGGATACTGTGCCTCAAGAAATGTCTTAATAACTGTGCCAAATGCTTAGGCCAAAAGCTGCCAATATTTGAATGGTTTTCTATGAATAGAGCTTTCAAAAATTCTAGCACTGCATGTATATGGCTAGCACAGAAAGTTCAAATGCGTTTGATATCAGTAATATATAGTCATTCCAACAAGAAAATTGCATACTGTTCTTAATTAGAAATCAAAAGTTCAGATGAAAGAGTGGAAAACGTAAAGATATTTAAATTGATTCCAAAGTTTAATTTAATTTTAAAAGGTATAAAAATAATACAGCATAAAAATCAAGTGTTTTTGAAAATGGACTGTGTGTGGTCTGTACTAAATATGAAGCATATAAAACAAAGCTACTTGCTATAGATTTATGTAATGTAAGCATAAAAATAAAACAATAAATGAATATCTATTATCAGGTAATTGGAAAAACTATATAACCATAAAATGTACAATATCGGCTATCTCTACCTAAATTCTCTGTATCAACATCTTTTTGCCAGAATCAAAAATTTATCACTGTTTATAAATGTAATGACCTTCAAACACAGTCTGTCAATCTGTGGAAAGTGTCAAGCCATTATGTCCATCATTTGCAGTGTTCTCTGTGTTATATAATTTAGTAAGGACAGGAATTACACTGAGCATGTTGTGTGCCATACAAGAGAGAGCAGTTGTGATATAAACAGTTCAACAATCTTCATTGACTTTCATGGATTTCAGTAGTTATACTTTCACAGCTACAAAATTTAAGACCTCTGTCCAAGAGTAAATCAAAGATGCCAATACTACATCCATGGATAAGGGAATAATGATATTGGAAAAATATTTTCTTATTAGCACTTTAGAAATGAGTTTTCTATCTTGTCTCTCCTAGTGTCAGCAATACCAATACCTACACTATTTTTCTTATATGCTTTTCATTCGCAATCTTACTAGAATTTATAATAGCTTTAATCCAACTAGACTAGAAAAAAATCTTACCCCTATACCCTACACTTTTCCAATCTATGTTGCTTTATAAGATGTCACAACTTATATGACATGAAGAATTGTAAAACGGCAGTGAAGAGGCTGCATTGCAATGAAAAATTCATTGAAATATTAATGTAATGAATGAATTAATGTAATGAATTAATGAATGAAGATTGTTGAACTGTTTATATCACAACTGCTCTCTCTTGTTATAGAATTGGATTGATAAATAATAATGATAGAATGTCTGAAGGAAAATTTATTTTCTAGAAAGCAAAAGAGAAAATCAAAAGCCATGTTTTATAAAACAAATTTAAGATCTGTAAAACAAATTTATAAAACAAATTTAAGCTTAAAAGAAGCACCTGAGCTAGAAAGCAATTGTAGGAGCAGATTCACATGACAAACTTAAGCCATAACTATAGCTGGAAGAGAAAACCACAGCTTGTGTAATTTGTAAAACTGTGATATCCGGGCTGGCACTGTGGCGTAGCAGTGCTGGCACCCCATATGGGCTCCAGTTCGAGTCCCAACTGCTCCACTTCTTACCCAGATCTCTGCTATGGCCTGGGAAAGTAGTACTATAGATGTGAAGCCCTAGTTCAAATGGAAGAGTTGGATTAGTGTCCTAGTGTTGCATTCGTTTACCAAGGTTTATGTTATAAATGTGACTTAGAATTCTCCTGGTCCTCTTTTGATGCAGAGCTTCAGAATTTTGTCTCGAATCTGCTTGGTTTTTACCACATACACAATGGGATTCATCACAGGAGGAATGAGGAAATGCATGTTGGCCATGGTCACATAGATATGGGAAGGAAGCCTTGGACCAAAGCGGTGGAGCATAGACAGACAGATCATGGGTGTGAAGAATAAGATCACAGCACACAGGTGGGAAATACAGGTGTTGAGAGCCTTGAGGTGGCCACCACGGGATGCAGTGCCCAGTACAGTTTTCAGAATCAACACATAGGAAAGGAGAATGAGGAAAAAATCAAGGCCCATAGTGGATAGCACCACAAAGAGTCCAAAGACACTATTGATCCTAGTATTGGAGCAGGAGAGCTTGATGATGTCAGGATGTAGGCAGTAGGAATGAGAAAGAACATTGGAGTGACAGAAACACAACCTCTTCAAGAGAATGGGGAGGGGCAACTGTACAGTCAATGTTCGCACAACAATAGCCAAACCTATCCTGGCAATTACATTACTGGTGAGGATGGAAGAATAATGCAATGGACAAGAAATGGCCACATAGCGGTCAAAGGCCATTGCCAGTATGATAGCTGACTCAAAATCCTGGAAGGTGTGAATAAAGAACATTTGGGTGAAGCAAGCCAAAAAGGTCAGCTCTCGAGCATCCAACCAGAAGATCTTCAGCATTGTGGGGAATGTGGAAAGGGACAGACCAAGATCAGAGGCAGCTAGCATGGCCAAGAAGAGGTACATAGGCGCATGGAGCGTCTGCTCCCTCCAGATAACTGTGAAGATGGTCACATTGCCCACCAAGGTACTGAGGAACATAGTGCAGAAGGGTATAGAAATCCAAATGTGCACAGCCTCCAGCCCAGGGATGCCTGTCACCAGGAGAGTGGAGAAGATGGAGTTGGTACTGTTAACAGGAGTCATGATGCCAAAGCTGCATGCCTTTCCTGGAAGCAAATGTGTTGTTCCTGAAACAAACGTTGTAATTTGACTCTAATATTTATCTGAGTACACATAATTATGTTAATTTACCTAAGTTATTTAATTGTTATAAGCAAAAACTCTAAAATACACATTTTAATTTAAATATAGTAGTCCCACCATATCTGCGTTCTGGTTCTGTATAGTTCCAATTATGCACAGTCAACCTTTTTTCTGTAATAGTAAGTAGAAATTCTAAAAATAAACAGTCATAAGTTTTATATTGTGCAGTATTGTGAGTGGCATTCTTACATCATCCTGCTCTATCCTTCTTGGGAAATTAGTCATCCCCTTGTGTAGGTGGCCACCTTGTACAAAACACCCATCTTCCACTCGCCTGCCATCTTGTTTATAAGATTGACTTGTAGACTTGTGTTCAAGTAGCCCTCATTTTCTTTATGAAGGTCCCAAAATGCCTGACGAGTGATACTGGCAGTTTGAACATGCCAAAAAGAAACCTTATAATGCTGCCTTTAAGTGAAAAACTGAAGTTTCTAAACCAATGAAGGAAGAAAAAAAAAAATGGCTGAGATTGCTAAGATCTACTGTAAGGACAAACCAACCATGAAACTGGGAAAAAAGAAAACTAAATCCAAGCTAGCTTTCCTGCTGTACCTAAAACTGCAAAAGTTTTGTCCATATTAAGTGTCAAGTATTTATTTAAGCTGGAAAAGCGATTGTATTAATCATAGGAATGTATGCATAAGAAAAAACATGGATTTTATATGGTCCAGTACTTTTCAAGGTTTCAGGCATCCTCTGGGGGTTGTGAAAGCATTCCTCTCAAATAAGAAAGGGCTACCACAAATCCATAGCTGTTAATATAATTATAGTAGTGGGTGAGGACTTGGGTTTTTCTTACTGGCGTGGTCAATAATGATAGATATTAGCAGTACTTAGACTGAAGTCCATGGACTCAGCGTCATATGGTATGTTTTGTACCTGAGTACAGAAATTGAAACTAAGTTTTTAGAAACTTTTGTATTATTTTAAATAATCCTTCTATGGTTCTTTAATAATAATTATTAATGTACAATAACACAATAATTATTGTGTTTTACAAGAAAAACACTTTTGTTAAATATAGAGAAATATTTTAATAGATTAAAATGTTTTCAATGACCAAGTTTCATTACCAAGTTTATGAAGTCCTGTCATGATAATTCACTGATGAAAATAAACATATTTTCTAAAATTTAACATAAAAATTCTTTATAATTAAAACATAAACTATTAAATAGATACACATATTCAAAATTCGCATTCATTGGTTCTCTTTTTGTTACAAAGATTAAATATTTTCAATTTTAATTAATAAAATCTAGGCATATTTTACATACAAAGTTTATTTGTATTATATAGATAGTGTTAACAAGTAATTCTAATCACAAACAAAAACTTTATAATTCCAAAGTTATTTATTTCATATAGGTATGATTATTTATTCTTAAAAAATTAAATATTAATTATTACATGCCTGATTCTAAACTACATTTATTGATATGGAAAAGCTTTAAGCCAGAGCAATTAGCTACGTTGATTTAAACAATGAGAAACCTGTCAAATATTTAATTATAATATAAGATATGTGAGACATAAGGCCATTTTCATGCTCTGCATTATCAAAAATTATTCCTTCAGGTAAAATCAACTATAGTTATTGTAAGTCTCTTTCTCACAGAGAGCAAAGCACACATTTTTCCTCAGTCAATGTCTCACCACATTCATATTTAAGGAACTAAATAGACATTACATACATAATCTTCAAATCCACATGCTATTTCCTCAAAAATATTGTCAAGCAAATATTTGCATATTCTAATCATCTCAATTCCTCACTGGTTCTCCCCCATTAATGTCAGCCTAGAACTGTGAACAGAGGCCTTTGTGGAGACAACACTTCAGTCTTCATTCCCTGTGTAAGGCATATAGACCTCAGCTCTGGTGAACAGAGTATTTCTCAGCTGCTCCTGTTCAAATGCTCCATTTGGTAAGGGGAAGATTATCAGAGAAAAACAGCAATAATGATAGCAACAAAAATAATAGAAGGCTTTGGTATTTTATTCAATTTTGTATAACCTCAGTCTGTTTCAATGTGGATGACACTTTCAGAAAACATAGGTAGGGGTTACTAAAAATTCTAGGTTTTATCCTTAAAAAAGTAAATTGATAATCACCTCAGAGGCTTTATTAGCATTTTTAAAGTGTGAATTCTGCTGTTAAGGATAGAGAAGGAAGGAGGAGATCCTAGGAAAGTTATTTTTGTTTGATAAGTTTACATTCTGCTAAATATGAAACATCGTGCTTCCAAATGACGAGGGCATGGTGTCAGATTTCTTCTCCATACATCTTCTCTCCTCCATGGGTTTTAACCATTTTCAGAATACTCACTCTGATCTGTTGATATTCCCATTCATGGATGAGACTAAACATCATGGTTGTTGTTTCCATAGGCACAGATAATTCTGTCCTTATCCAGTTCAGGAATACCTTAAGCTCATGTTCTTTTATTTGGCTTAATAATGTTATCCAATACATCAGGCGCTTGAACAAAACAAACTTGAAATAGTTTCATAGAATGACACATCCTCTTGATCCCCATGATTCCTTGTTTTACACGCGACAGTTTCTCTACTCACTAATTTATCCAAAGTCTCTTGTTCTTTGTCCTTTCCCAAAAGCAGGTAAACCATGCTTTTATTCTTACCTGACATGACAAGATGGAACTTTTACTAAAGTCCTACACCGAAAGCTTTCTCTTCCTTGTCCAAAATCAAGTACACCTGTAGCTTGGTTTGAGCTTCCTTATTATATATACAGTTCTCTCTTGAGGATAGTAACCTTTTGGGGATCCTCTTCTTGATTTGAAATTCATCTTGTACTGCTTCCTATGAATATTTCACAAATAGTTCATTTGCTTCTGAAGTAGCCCCCTGACAGTAGGGACTCCATTTTGGAGTCCTTGAGACTCCAACCCCCCCCCCCCCCCCCACCATGAGACTCTGGTCTGAAACTATGGTTTCAAATAGTCAAACAATAGCAGTACACTATATCACCCTTGGCAGAGCACAAAAACACCCTAGCATGATTGCTCAAGCTTACAAGCACAAAAAGTTGCCCCTGGGTTACCTGGGTTCATAATGAAGATGTGATTTGTCTGTGTCTTACATTAATGTCAAGTCCTAATTGCTAATTGTAAGATTGTAACTGGTATTGTCAAGATTATGATAAATATTAATTTCACTTAGGTTTTAGGTTATGTTGACCCCAGTAACCATATACTCTTTTGATTTTATGTACTCTCTTTTGATCTTAGCAATTGTGTATAGCAACCGTGCATAGCAACCGTGTATTCCCCCCCTTCCCGGTTTTGCGGTTTTTGCCTTTATAAACCCTAACCTTTGGTTATTCGGGGCTCCTCTGTTCATGTATGATCAGACAGCCCCAGCATGCTGGATAATCAATAAAACTTCCCCGTGCTGTTTGCATAAGAGACGTGTCTCTTGGTGACGTTTTTCGGGCGGTCAACTCTAACACTTCTTTGTATTAGGAGGTTTGACAGTCACTCACTGTATATGGACACTATCTAAATTCATATACCTAAAATTCATACACAGTATCTACATTTTGGGATTACTCATATTTTATATAATATATTCTGGCAATTATCAAAAGTTTATTTTATCAAAGACATCTCTTTGTACTATATACTATTGTTAACTTCATATCTTATGTTTCAAATATAAAACACTACTAACTATATTTAGACATTACTTTAGAAATCCGAAATGATAAATTATACCTGTTTTCCTGTTATTTCCCATTCTACTCATTCACACACAATACTCACTTTATTCAAACATATACATGTGCATGTATGTCAAAGTGGTCTATTTTGTTATGTAGCTTCAAATAAAAATACAGACATGATATTTTAGACTAGTCAAACCCAGATTTTATTGACAGTTACTGGAATGATACAGCAGTGGATCCTCTTTATGAAGAATCATGCTTGGGAATTTAAGAATCAATGTCAATGTACCTTTTGTTATTACTTTTTCACTTATAAAATAACATTTTTCTCCTCATGACAACCCAGTAAATTACTGTTATCTTTAAAGATACCAAAATTTATTGAGATTGATTTTTGACTCCCAATATCAGGCCATTAATCCATAGGCATAGTAGGAATTAAAAGGTGTTCTGGTATAGATAATTTTCTCCTTTGTGATGGTTATAATTTTGTGTCAAATTCATCAGTATAACATTACTTCACATATGTCTATGTGAAATTTCCAAAAGAGATTAGAATCTGGGTTTGTGAACTCTGTTAAGTAGATGACCCTCCTTGTTGTAGGTGGGCATCACCCAATCCAGTAAGAGTCTGAATAGAGCAAAGCTACGGAAAAAGAATAAATTCTCTTTCTCTGCCTGGGCTGAGCCATCTGTCTTCTTATGCACTCTGACATGGGTGCTCCTGGTCTCCTGGAGCAGCAGAAGATGGCCCAAGTGCTGGGGACCGTGCACCCGCATGAGAGTCCAGGAAGAAACCCCTGGCTCCTGGCTTCGCGACCTGGCCCAGCCCGGCCATTGAGGTCATCTGGGGAGTGAGCCAGTGGATAGATGATCTCTTTCTCTCTCTCTCCTTCTGCCTCTCCAACTCTCTCTCTCTTCTTCTTCTTCTGCCTCTCCATCTCTCTCTCTCTCTCCCACCATAACTTCGCCTTTCAAATAAAATAAAAATAAATCTTCAAAAATTCTCATAGAACTATGCACGTTAAAATGATTATGTTCTCTCGGTTTAAAGTTTATAACCTAAACTGGTCCTTAATAAAAGATAAATAACTGGGGCCGGTGCTGTGGCATAGCAGATTAAGCTGGCATCCCATATCGGCAGCTGATTTGAGATCCAGCTGCTCCACTTCTGATCAAGCTCTCTGCTA